ACATCAATGATGAGAGAGAATCATTGATTGGCTGCCTCCTGCATGCCCCCTACTGGGGATTGAGCCTGCATCCTGGGCATGTGCCCTTGACTGGAACCGAACCCGAGACCCTTCAGTCTGTAGGCCATCACTCTGTCCACTAAGCCAAACCAGCTAGGGCGCTACATCACATTTTGTGCTAATTTTAACATGAAAGGCTCACATGCAGCTCAAAACTTAGATAAAAAGTCATCCCTGTGAGTTAGAAAACATGTGAGAGTTGGGAGGAGGGGAACAGGAACACCCATAGCTCTTCGTAAGGAGCGTGGCCCTGGCCTGAGGGAAAGGGGAGTTTTGAATCACCTGTGGTCTTCAGGGCATCTGATGTCAGCCCCCTCGTCTGTGACCTCTGCTGAGGAAAACAGGCTCAGGCCTCGAGGCTGGGATCACACACGGTTTCCTGCACAGAGGTACCTGGCCCCAGGTTCTGAGGCACCTGGGGTCTCCTGGCATCAGGATGAGGGGAGTCATGCACCCTTCCCACCCGTGCTCTGCTGCCTGTGTTCTTAGCATCCCCACCAGATATGGAAGGTCTCTTCAGCCTCATGTAAGTCCTTCCTTCCCCGTATCTCATCTTCTGTGTTAGTCCTATGGTGGCCCATGGCCCCCCACACCATTGTTTTAGCCCAGGAGGCTGCGTACTCTTTCTATAAAAAGCCAGATAGTAAATGTGTTTGGCTTTGCAGATCATAACAACTGACTCTGCCTTAGGAATCCAAAGGCAACCACAAACTCTGGACACAGTGGGCGTGGCCATCTCTATAAAAGCCTAAGCAACCGGTGGACTGGCCAGTAGCTATAATGCACACTGACCACCAGGGGGCAGACTCAACGCAGGAGCTGCTGAGCTGTGTGACTTGGCAGCTGTGGTTCTCAGGTGATGCACCCTGAACCGGAGAGGAAGCAGCCCAGTTCTGGGGTGTGTCATCTGAGACCCACCCTCACAATCCAGGACCCATTGGGGGATGTCGGAGAGCCGGTTTCAGCCCGATCCCCGCAGGCCAGGCCGAGGGACCCCGCCGGTGCATGGCCTCTAGTGTGTCAATAAGATTTTATTGATAAGCACTGAATTTCATGTAATTTCCACATGTCATGAAATACTTATTTGATTTTCCCCCCTCCAGGTATTTAAAAATATAAACCCATTCTTAGTTTGTGGGCCCTGCTATTCTAATCTCCATTTTCACCAGCCCCTGATGCTGGGCACAGAGCTTGTGTTGCCTTTAATTAACTTGGTACAAACATCTCAGCAAATTTTGCAAGTGAACCCATGAGGTAAATTCACAGTAGAGGACATACTTGATTAAAGGGGGGGATTATTTTGCTAGACATTACCAAAGTACTGCCTCAGAAATTAACCGTTTATTTCCCCTGGCACCAGGACTGATCATGCTGCTGAAAGCTCTGCTTGTGTGATAGTGCTTTTCTTTGAGCCTTTTTTTCATTCATTTTAAAGTCGTTTGGCTTTCCTGTACTGATTTGTCTATTTGTCCCCTTTACCGGTTTTTCTATGAGGAAGTTGAAGGCCCAGATTTGCTTTTTACATAGGAAGGACCTTGCCCTCTGCCTAGTGCCCTCTGCCCCTGAGATCCAGTTGTGGCCAAGTAGGGAAATGTGTCTTGATTTAGATAAAAGATTAAGTCCCTTCCTAAGAGTTCCTGGCCTGTGGGGCAGGGCCAACTCCATGTGATGGGGACACTCTGGGTGGGCGGAGCAGACTTCAGCTTTGGGTTTAGCAAAACAGAAGAGGTCAGGCAGAGGGTAATGCTGGGGAGGTGCTCTGGGCAGAGAGAACAGCATGTGGGAAGGCTTAAAGACAGCAGTAAACTGGGGAGGGGACAGGGGGGGCTCTGCATGCCCAGCAAGGAGCTGACTCTCCAAAGGTGATGAAGGGAGGAACCCCCAGAGTTGTTCTTATCTGTCCCCTTACTGTGCAGTCAACAGAAGACAGAGCTGCCAGTCACGGAGAATGTGCAGACGATCCCACCCCCATATGTGGTCCGTACCATCCTTGTCTACAGCCGTCCACCCTGCCAGCCCCAGTTCTCCCTGACTGAGCCCATGAAGGTGAGCGAGGCCTGGGAGAGGGTGGTGAGACACTAGGAGGGATTTCCTGAACACAGGACTGGGGCACCTGCTGGCAGGTTCCCAGAGTCTGAGGCAGACGCTGGGGAATTGTCATGGGGCGCAGGGTGACTGAGTCTCAAAGGCTGGTGTTCTTTACCTGCAGAAAATGTTCCAGTGCCCATATTTCTTCTTTGATGTTGTTTACATCCACAATGGCACCGACGAGAAGGAGGAGGAGATGAGCTGGAAGGTGAGGCCGTGGCTGGTGTGGGCGGCAGGTGGGTGTAGATGGGACGTCTTAGAACCCATCTACCCTGGGTCTCGGGGATCCCAACTTCTGGCTCCTGCTCATTCGGTCATTTGACGACCATTTCCATATGGTCTGCTGGGAGCTCAGGGGCCCTGTTGGGACAGGGGCCTGCTTCTCTCTCCCCGCTTTTGCCTTGGCTGTGCCCTCTTCTTGGAGCACCCTTCCCTCCCTGCCTATCCAGACTCTGCTGGTCATTCACGTCCCCACCCTGAACTACCTATGGGGCTTCAATTGGGCCACTGACCTCTCTGAGCCTCAGTTTACCCAGCTGAACCTGGGGGGTTGAGGCCAGCTCCTACTCATACCTCAATATTTAAACCAAAAGTGTCTATTGAGGGAAGCCTTCCCTGCCCCTCAAGGAAGATCAGCATGGGGACGGGGGCGGGGGTAGTTTACTAGCCCCCCTTGGAGCCTCCAACTGACTCCAGTCTGGACGGAGGCTCCAAGGCTGAGACCTGTCGGTGTCCCTAACATGGGGCGGGGAGCAGGGAGTGTTTGCTGAAGGCAGGAATGTTTTCTGCCTGGAAAACTCTTCACCCTTCAGAACCTACCCCTGGTGCCTCCTCCTCTGGGAAACCCTGCCGGGGCAAGGAAGGCCTGGCAGGGAGCCCTTGCTTGAAGAGCCCTCCCTGGCCCCACAGGACATGTTTGCCTTCATGGGCAGCCTGGATACCAAGGGCACCAGCTACAAGTATGAGGTGGCACTGGCCGGGCCAGCCCTGGAGCTGCACAACTGTATGGCTAAGCTGCTGGCTCACCCGTTGCAACGGCCCTGCCAGAGCCATGCCTCCTACAGCCTGCTGGAGGAGGAGGAGGAAGCCACTGAGGTTGAGGCCACTGTCTGAATCTTCCCTGTGCGTCCAACCTGGTACCACGGAACCCTTGCCTAGAGTGCTGGTTCTTAAACTCCGCTCATAGGACCCCTGGGGGACTTCAAGGAAGCACTTGGTTACTTCGGAGCCCTGGAAGGAAACCCGTTATTCCAGGAAGCAACCCAGGACTGTGGACACCCATGATTCCCAGTCCATGTTTCAGTCCCCAGTTTGCCAATTGTAATGTGTTCTCCCCTGTGTGATTTTTGTCACCAGAATAAAACCTGAGAAATCTCTAACCGAGGTCCACACCAGTTGCCTTGTGTTAATTAGGATCTTCTTGATTGAAGGTGACAGAAAACCCACCCAATGAACAGCAAGTGGGATGGCTTGGTTCTGGCGGATAAGCCGAGGTGCAGCTTCAGGCTTGCCTACATCCAGCTG